GAAATGGCCAATATTGATAAGTTGTTTGATGTGCATACAATAAAATCTTTTGAAAATCTTTCCTCCTTATGTAGCACAACGGATGCATTATTAATAAATCCATGGAAAACAACTATTATATTGTAGGTTCAATGGGTTCTGTTGATTTTTCTGGCTGTTTTGTTTTCTACACTACATTTCCTAGGTGTTGAGTTTTCATTTGATGGGTTATGTTGATGGGTTATGTTGATGTAAACATGTTATACCAATCCATTCTTTGATGATGGTTTGTTTTGTCTAAAGCTAAAAAATCAGCAACTATAGGGACTGCAGGCCAAAATCGGCAACTTAAAGGACTGTTTTAGGGGTTGTTTAAGCTGTCCTAGGGGGCTATTAACAAATGTTTTCTAAGGAAATTTGGGCTTGTTTTGAGGGTAGTTTACACCTGTTGTTGGAGAGGCTGAATCTTTGATTAGAATGGAAATACATTTCGGGTTTCGGGTTCATGTTTTTATAAGTCGTTTTACTCATTTTTGTATCTAAAAAGATTCTATTCTGAAGCTTGTTACTGGCAAAAAATTTCGTTATGAAGATCACCCATGTTGTTTTACTGTTACATTCTTTGATTGATATAGATGTTATCATGGTGAGTTAGCATGGACTTGACGCAAGAAAAAGAAAGAACGATTGATTTTGATGTTTTTTTTAGTTGAATTATTGTCGCCATGCTGTTTTTTGTTGGCTAAGGAATTTTAAGTCTAAAGCTACTTTGGGGATTCTCATTATGGCCATACTATTGTATTTGATGTCTCTATGATTCCATTTGATCTGGCATCACATACTTATGTTTTACTGGTTTTGTTCCACAGGTTGGTTATTGTCTTGATTGCACTTATCGAGTAAGATTTTTGGCCCTTATAATATTTATCTGGGTAGATTCCATCCTTATGATTGCACTTATCTGGTAAAAATTTTGGTCCTTATAATATTTACCTGGATAGCGCATACCGGGTAAGTATTTAGTAAACGGCCCTAGGTAAGTATTTAGTAAACAGCCCCTAGGCTTTCTTTCTCCTTAAATGAAATTGGATTATTTGGATGTATTCTTTGAGCATCAATAAAAGCTTTAGCATATGGTTATTTTTTTGTATAATTCTTTAAATTATACATGTTTGAGGCATTCTAAACGCTAATTCACAGGATTAAATGCATATTTATTAGGTAGCTCTTCGAGATTTATGAGAGAAGTTCATCATACGATCTCTTCAAGTTGTCATAAAGATGCTTTCACAAATATTCTGAATTAGTTACTGACACCATCCTACTAAATTTGTGAACATTTGACCCTTGGACTCTTGATATGGTTTTAAAGAAACAAGGATATGATATTTGCATACGGTGTTTGTTGTCCAATTTGTGGGTTTACTTGACCATGCTTCAATTTTAGACAAAAGTGACTCACTTTTTGGTCATTGTACTTGACTTTTCGTAAAACTAACCATTTGGTACCATATGTTTCTATTAAAATCATTGTGCGTTTTTTTGTAGAAAATATTTACAGGTGAGTGCATCACGAAAACTAAACAAAAGTTTGGATATACAGATGAACTTTATTTACAAATGATTGTATTTCTTTGTTCAGTCAAAAATTTCAAGTTTTGTAATGAGATCTGAGTATATGGGTTTAGAAACCCAATACATATACAATTATTTTTTCATTCGATCTTGCTAATACACCATATTAACCTTCAACTTTATATATTAGTTGACTTGCAAAATAACCACACAAACTCATGATTCAAGACCAAACTAATGTTTCAGAATTGTGATTCACC